GCTAACAGCGCAATATCATCGGCGTAGTCAAGATCAGTTAGCCGGCGTTCGGCTTACTCTGTTGTCGCCAGTTTGTGGACCTCGTCGAGATCGACGTCCGAATTATCACTCTGTTGATTTAACTCGTGGAATGTATGGGAGCGGTGATGATAGTTCGAGCATCGATTTTGATTAAGTCTGCCATATGCTCCAGGGAGCAGGAAGGGTGACTGGAGAACAGGGGTTAGATTTAAGTGATAGTAGACGCGCAACCGTATACCGCACTCTTTACCCTCAACCCGTTTGAGTCGAGATGACCGAGCGGGATCAGGCGTAGGCCACTTCCTCCAATGCGGGTCAGAACACCGCCTACTTATTCTTAAGTGACAGCAGACTTTTGCGCTGGTACTATCGCACTACCTACCCTCAGTCACCTTCAGCAAGATGCCGAGGCTAGTACTGCTACTACTATTTATGCTACTACTACTACTACTACTCCTACTACTAGCTAGCCATGTAGCTGAGTGCTAGTAGTGCTGGCACTATTACTGACGCTAATATTAGTCAGAGATGACGCCGATTAACAGATCACGCTGGGGTTCATATCCCCCGATTCTGGGTTTATGCAAAATGCGAAGGGTACACCTTGCTGGTTGGCATCGCTAAGTATTGTCGAGTCAACTGTTGAACCCTGGTAACCTCGTCGACTGGTTGGATAAACCAGGTGAGGCTGCCCTAATTGTCTCTCGGCATGATGAACTGGCGTATGCAGTCAGGTTTCGGCGTATTTGCTTTGTCGGCAACTGCATCAGATCCGACAAAGTACTTCTTACCATTCCTGTCGTTGTAGTTGGTCTTTTGGCTTCATGACTTGGCGCCTGACGGCTGCTTCTGGCCTCGGTGCAAGTGTGTGTTGTCTGAAAAGGCTGTTTACGGCTTCCGAGGCGTTCTTCGTGCCTGTGAGAACGCTTGCTAAAATTTGGGGTCGGTTGGAGTTTGTTTCTCGTCGCTTTCAAAAAAGCGCTTACTGTGACGCAAGTTCTGAGCTTCATCAGCAACCGGCCACAAACGCAGCTGCTATACCGGCATGTCGAGATGCATTTCAGTGAATCCCCCAAGAAAATGAGATTGCTGAATTGCAATATTTTCGATGGATGCCTCGCGTAGATGCTTCCCCGCACAACCTGGTCTGTTTGATCCGCGATCTGCTTGTGCGCCATACTTCTCTGCGACGGGGATTCAATTAGTAAACTTACTGACCTCCCACCTCAATATCCTGGGCCGCGATTTTGTCCGGTTCTCTCGTCGCTTTCAAAAAAGTGCTTACTGTGACGCAAGCACTGAGCTTCATCAGCAACCGGCCACAAACGCAGCTGCTATACCGGCATGTCGAGATGCATTTCAGTGAATCCCCCAAGAAAATGAGATTGCTGAATTGCAATATTTTCGATGGATGCCTCGCGTAGATGCTTCCCCGCACAACCTGGTCTGTTTGATCCGCGATCTGCTTGTGCGCCATACTTCTCTGCGACGGGGATTCAATTAGTAAACGTACTGACCTCCCACCTCAATATCCTGGGCTGCGATTTTGTTCGGGTCAAAGTAATTAGGCAGGTGGAGAGGGCGTGGGTTGATGAGCATTCTCTATGACAGCAAACCAAGTTACCGAATCACTGTTACGTGAAGAAACCATAACTGTGATGAAAAAATGGTAAGTTATGACTCGGCTTATTCTTACGTCAGTCGCCTTCTTGTCGTCAGTTGGCCTTCGTATATGCCACAAAGACGAATTTTCATCTTTGTCAACGGCGAAGCGCATCTCCTAT